TCCCCCAGAAATGTAAGGGTACCAGGATCTACTTCCCCCAGAAATGTAAGGGTATCAGGATCTACATCCCCAAGAAATGTAAGGGTACCAGGATCTACATCCCCCAGAAATGGTAGGGTACCAGGATCTACTTCCCCCAGAAATGTAAGGGTACCAGGATCTACTTCGCCCAGGATCTACTTCCCCCAGAAATGTAAGGGTACCAGGATCTACTTCCCCCAGAAATGTAAGGGTATCAGGATCTATCCCCCAGAAATGTAAGGGTACCAGGATCTAATTCCCCCAGAAATGAAAGGGTACCAGGATCTACATCCCCCAGAAATGTAAGGGAACCAGGATCTACATCCCCCAGAAATGTAAGGGTACCAGGATCTACATTCCCCAGAAATGGTAGGGTACCAGGATCTACTTCCCCCAGAAATGTAAGGGTACCAGGATCTACTTCACCTTCACCCAGAAATGTAAGGGTACCAGGATCTACATTCCCCAGAAATGGTAGGGTACCAGGATCTACTTCCCCCAGAAATGTAAGGGTATCAGGATCTACTTCCCCCAGAAATGTAAGGGTACTAGGATCTACTTCCCCAGAAATGTAAGGGTACCAGCTGCAATTTTCTGTCTAAGTTGGTTGAAAACTAGAAAATACTTTTAAAATATGAATGTCCCTCCTGCCTTGAAAACTTATCTCTTTTTCATCAAGCTTCTATAAATAGTAACAGTAACCTAGACATTGGCCTTGCAGGAGTAATATCACTAAATTGGCTGACAAAAGTTTTATAAATAGTAATGTTGGCCTTGTTACCCTGAAATCGAGCTAATTCATGACAGATCAGAATGAATATAGGTAACACTTAATACCTCCCCTCATAAAATGGGTGATGGGAGAGGGAGGAGGGGAGGGGAGGGGAGGGGAGGGGAGGGGTGCATAAAATATGTTTTCATGAAAGTCAGAGTATACAAGTGTAGGCGTTGCAGAGATGGATCTTGGATAAACCCTGCTCAATTTTAATTAATTTTTCGAGAGGAATGACCAATTAGTTCATGCATACCTCCTGGTACTTACCTCCATTGAATATTTGAAGGAGAAGAAATATAAGCTCCTTACTACCCGGCCCCACAATAATGTCGTTGGGGTCAATGTCAAGGTCATCAAACTTGCTATGGAATTTGCTGATGTTTTCTCGCAACTCAAACAATCCTAAGAATGAAAACAAAAACAGTTGATTAAACATTGAAGCATCTAGGACAGTTTTGATTTTAGAAATTTCTTCTCTTATTTCCATGTGTGTAAGATAGAGCTGTCAAGGGCAAGAAAGGGGTGTAGGAAAATTCTATCTTACACCCCATTTCACGTGACGTGACGTCACAATGCCTCAACAATCCCGTCACGTCACAAATTCCGTTGTCGCAATGCAATGCGGAAAAGGTGACATGATGAAATTGAAACCTTTTACGATATATTTACCGTACATATTAGAAAGATGAGATTAATTTTTCTGCTCAAACTCTGTTTGCATTTATGGGGCACGCTTTATCTGGCTGTATGATTTGTTTTCATCTAAAAGGCTCAGGGGAAGAATTAATATTTTCAAAATGGTAGCCAGTTCACACGCATTTTCATGCTTTCTAAAGCTTAATCTGGGAATGAGGGAAAAATACTCTTTCATGCCCAAGGGTGTAGGATAGGGAAATTCCACCCTCAAGATCTATAAATTTTGCAAAAGCCTCGACAAAGCCTCGGGTTTTACCAAATTTGAAAACCCCTCGGGTGGAATTTCCCTATCCTAAACTTCTGGGCATGAAAGATTCTTTAATTATTTTAGGAACAAGACGTGTGTAGGCTAAAGTCTGTTGTCCAATCCTTTTGTCATTGCATAATTCTATTCCCAATAGAATTTGTCAAAAATGAAACTGAGATCTCTTTATGAATGATGTGAAATCTCTCATTTTCATGGTTTTATTCAAAGGTCAACGAGGTTATTCTCTGTTTGAGTGGGTACTCATGTACCCATAAAATGGTGTTTTGTCAGGAAAACATGAAATTTGGGCCCAATGAAAATATCTCACCTAAGTACACACTGTAGCAGCAGTTTTATTACCATTATCTTATTACCCATCCCGGCCCCATTTTAACATCCATTGAGGGGTGGAATGAGTAAACATGCTACCTGTCCCACTAACTGCCTACATTATTATCAGCGGTTTACAGTCGAGACACCGGTCTTTTGCAAACTTTCCTTGACAAAAAAAACAGATGTTTTTTCAATTTTTCAATTCCTGTTTGTGTTCAAAACAAACTTAGCCTTTATACAAACTTAGCCTTATACAAACTCAGCTTTTATACAAACTTAGCCTTTATACAAACTCAGCTTTTATACAAACTTAGCCTTTATACAAACTTAGCCTTTATACAAACTCAGCTTTTATACAAACTTAGCCTTTATACAAACTTAGCCTTTGTATATACAAACTCAGCTTTTATATAAACTAAGTCTTTATACAAACTTAGCCTTTATACAAACTTAGCTTTTATACAAACTTAGCCTTTATACAAACTTAGCCTTTATACAAACTTAGCCTTTATACAAACTTAGCCTTTATACAAACTTAGCCTTTATACAAACTTAGCCTTTATACAAACTTAGCCTTTATACAAACTTAGCCTTTATACAAACTTAGCCTTTATACAAACTTAGCCTTTATACAAACTTAGCCTTTATACAAACTTAGCCTTTATACAAACTTAGCCTTTATACAAACTTAGCCTTTATACAAACTTAGCCTTTATACAAACTTAGCCTTTATACAAACTTAGCCTTTATACAAACTTAGCCTTTGTATATACAAACTCAGCTTTTATATAAACTAAGTCTTTATACAAACTTAGCCTTTATACAAACTTAGCTTTTATACAAACTTAGCCTTTATACAAACTTAGCCTTTATACAAACTCAGCTTTTATACAAACTTAGCCTTTATACAAACTTAGCCTTTGTATATACAAACTCAGCTTTTATATAAACTAAGTCTTTATACAAACTTAGCCTTTATACAAACTTAGCTTTTATACAAACTTAGCCTTTATACAAACTTAGCCTTTATACAAACTTAGCCTTTATACAAACTTAGCCTTTATACAAACTTAGCCTTTATACAAACTAAGCCTTAATACAAACTCAGCCTTTATACAAACTTAGCCTTTATACAAACTTAGCCTTTATATCAAATTCTTTAATCATAAATGTTACCAAGCTTTATGTTCAAGCAACAAAAGAACAATCTACAGAGAATGAAAAGAAAAAGCACACCTTTTGAGAAAATGTCCAGCTCAAATTATATGATGAGGTCATTTAAGTACATAGATATTGACATTTGTGCATGCTATCTTGTAAATGACTATGCATACAAGCTACAGGACATGGAGCTGTGTGTCACATACACATGGAGTGTTTCACTCGCATCACGATAACAAAGCACGCTAGATCTCATGTTTACCCTACATTACCTGCAGCCGTTAACCAATATAGACAACGACCCTATAATATATTAATATCATGTTCTGATGTCCAATTTGCTTCATATTAACATTTAAATGTCTTCATTAAATTATATAAATACATTATATTCACCCTTTATTATATTTTTGCATTGAATAATGTACTCAGGGCATTTAAATGGTAAAATGATAAAGTGAGGCATACAAATATATACCCAGTGTCTTACAGAATGGCTTCCCCCGGACTCTTATAAATAATTTACAATTCAAAATGAATAAAGCATTATGATAATTTTTGGGCCCCGTCAGTCAATTTACATCCCCGTACTTACACTGCTGCTGAACTGACTGAATTAAGCAAAAATATGTTGCCCATTAATCCACATATAGCAATGCTTAAATACTATTAAGAAGGTGTTTTTTGAAACAAATGGACATCTTTAAACCAAACATATTCTTCTTTGATGCTTTAAATGCAACTCTGAATATGTTGTTTGAAAATGAAAAAAAAAACAATAACACTTTCTGTGGCTAATGCTAATTTATTTAATTGACCCTGCAACATTGATTTTTTACATATGACCTCTAAAATACAAACAGACCAAAAATTGTGTTCAATAGTTATCCACTTTTCTTTTGAAATTGTTTTCAGAAGAACTTTCATAGAATTTAATTACATTGTAAAAAGATATACCTTGTAGGTAATACAAGAACAGTGAGCTTGACCTTTTGTCATCTGACTTCTAAAAGCAGAATCAGAACTTCTATTACAAAACCTGTTGTTTGATCTGGGGGGGG